AAAGGGACGTGCAGCGTTCTCGGACCTACTGAACAATGGCCAATCCGGCAAGAGCATAGATGGTGTTGGGAAGTTTCTTTTATCCAACTTTCGCAGACAGCACAGAACCTATTGTCTGACGTGTTGAAGTTGCTCTCCTCTACGTCGTTACTAAACAGCGTCATCGCAAATCCGCGGCGCGCGTGCCCGGTGTTTAATTTTTGAACCTTCCTAACCAATATGTCTTCGGTTATTTGACTTGATGGGAATCTCTAAACAGAATACACGGATCAGCCAGTGCGGACTAGACAGCCAATATTAGACGAACTTAATGGACTCGGTCGCGACGAGGCTGGACTCCATCGCAATTAGGCTGGACTCCATCACAATGAGGCTGGACCTTACCTTGGTGCGATGGTTTGCGTGCCTCAGAGATCCATTGAGCTATGCTGGGTGGTGCTTTCTTTGCACCTTCAGAGCTACTCATACCAGATTGGCCAATGGTTAGGGGCCAGACAAACTCAGCCTCCTGGTACTCCAGGTTGGTGTTGGAATGGGGTGGCTCCTCATTTCATAAAACAGGTTCTGTAGTCCAGTGCCAAAACCCGCTGCCTTTCGGTAAGGTTTTTGAACCAAAGGCTTTGGTTGAGAACCCTAATCGTTCTCCTGTCTAGGCCTGGGCAACCTGACAGTATTCTGCCCACGCAATACAATGAACCTTTCCCACAAAAATTTCTTGATGCTCTGGCCGTCGCAGAGGATAATAAACGGCGCCCTATCTGCTGCATCGAGCAGGGTGGATAGGGGTATGGATGCTACTGCGCAAGCCTTCCCATCTTCTTATTCCCCTTCTTGCGCTTCTTCATCCTTATCGTCCCGCTCCAACTTTACTTATATCCCCCCATTTTCAATCCCCCAATTCTTGGCCCTCCCTCAGCTTACTTCAGTAGTCGCTTGTCTTCTAATTTCAAATCACACAAAATCGCAGAGCCTTGCTCCAATCCAGTCGACAAGTCCATGTTCAACCAAGCAGACAACGTCAGTTCATCCGTTTCCCTTTGGAGTCCTCGCGTCCCGCTTAGACTGGCATGCCTCAACGTGCGCACCTTGCTGCAGATTGGCCAACTGGCAGCACTTGCCCACACACTAGAGACCCTATCAATCGATATTTGCTGTTTATCAGAAACCCGCCTGCAGGGTTCGAGCTCCGTGCTTGCCCTGAGATCCCCCACATGCGACACTGGCGGCAAATTCTCATTGCGCCTGTCTGGCGATGATGCAGCTTCAAATGCCGGCCAAGCTGGCGCCGGCATTATTTTGAGTCCCCGGGCTGAAGCTGCCCTGATTGATTGGATCCCAGTAAACAGTAGGATGTGCGCCGTTAGATTAGCTGGTTCGTTCCGTGCTACGAAGTCGCGCGGGGATAAACGGTGTCTGTTTGTCATCGCGGCCTACGCCCCTACAAACTGTAGCACTGATTCGGTAAAAGATGACTTCTATTAGCAACTTCACGAGATCCTTCGTTACAGAACAAGCACGGATACTGTGGTGTTGGCTGGCGATCTAAACGCCCAAGTCGGAAAATTGTCCTCTGATGAGCTTCATCTGGGCGGCCAACATGGTGTAGGCTCGCGTAATGATAATGGTGAGCGATTGCTACAGCTGTGCGAAGATACTCGCCTCTTTCTCGCGAGCACTAACTTTCGACACAGAACCCGCAGAAGTGTGACTTGGCGGCCACCAGTCTCGGGCCAGCCATGGACGCAAATCGATCATATCGCGATCAGTTACGGCTGGAGAGGCTGTGTTCAAAACTGTCGCTCGATTTGGAGCACGAGTGTGGATTCTGACCACGCACTTGTCTGTGCCGACCTCCTGGTGCGTTTCGGTGGACGTCCGCAACGTCGATGTGAACGGATTGATACCAGCCAGATTTTTTGAATGTGCCAAAGTGCGCTGACATCTGGACTGAGTAAGCGCTCACTGAACACCGTCGAAGATAACTGGTCGCATATTCGTCAAGCGTTGCTGTTAGCAGGCATGTCTTCATGTGGCAAAGCAAATTGCCAAGCCGGACATTGGGTCTCTACACAGTCTCTAGAACTTATGGATGCTCGCCGACGTATTCCGGCTGGAAGCGAATACAACGAGACTCGCAAAAATCTCAGGGCAAAATTACGTGCTAGCCTAACGAAGGATGGCGGAACGTTGTGGTCTCATCGTGCCTCTGAAATGGAAACAGCCGCTGCCGTTGGTAATCATCGAAAATTATTTCGTCTGATACGGGAAAGAGGCAGCAGGAAAACTGGTGTTAGCGAGACCATACGCGACGACAGTGGCAGCCGATCCACAGCCTGTCAAAACGCTTGGAGCGTTAAGCTGGACAATTTGCTAGGCAATTTAACCAACCTGAGTTATCGCATTCTTCTTCGGGCATTGAGCGCCCTTCTCCTTGGGCCGTCTCCTTGGATCCGCCCTAACGCGCAGAAGTCGAACTTGAGATCAGGCCGTTAAAATTGCATAAGGTCGCAGGGGCAGATAGAATTCCCCCAGCCCTCTTCAAATTCGGATGACCTGCTCCAGTAGATGATCTACACGAGTTGCTAGTGAAACATTGGGAGAAGGAGACAGTCCCGACAGACTAGAACCGCTCCGTCATTGACCCAATTTTCAAGGGAAACTCCCGTTTGGAATGCCGCAATCACAGAGGGATCAGCCTGATTTCGATTGCCTCTAAATTGCTTGCCTCTGTCATTCTCCACAGACTGATTGGCACTCGTGAAAGCCAGATTCGTGAAGAGCAAGCCGGATTTCGTCGAGGTCGGGGCTGCATCGACCACATCTTCACCTTGCGTCAAGTGTTGGCGCACCGCCATGTTTATTGGCGATCCACCGTTGTCGCGTTTCTTGACATAAAAGATGCCTTCGACTCAGTCGATCGATGTGCCGTTTGGGACTGTCTGCTGAGGAAAGGTGTGGCTGATAAATATGTAAACATTATCGAAGCGCTGTACGCGCATAGTTCGGGCAGGGTGAGGGTTTATGGCAAACTGTCGCCACCCTTCAGTATCACCAGCGGTGTGAGACAAGGATGTCCACTGTCACCTTTCCTCTTCAACTTCGCTATTGATAAAGTCATGGAAACAGCGTTGGCTGGACACGACCTAGAAGGTGTGGAGCTACTTCCTGGTGAGCGACTTCTTGACTTGGAGTATGCGAACGATATCGCCCAAATCTGTGACATCTGCCAAACATGCCAACATGCAAACAGCACTGGACCGATTAGCACTGGCTATCAATCGTTTTGGGCTATGCTTTGCTCCATCGAAATGCAAAGTACTTCTCCAAGATTGGCAGGGACCTAACCCTGCGCTAACGCTTGGTGGTGAACTGCTAGAACTCGTTCAGGAATTCAAGTACCTGAGCAGTTATAGTAGCACCCGTGGGATTGAAGATGAGGTTACGAACCGTATAGCAAAAGCTCGAGGTGCTTTTGCCAATCTCCGCCACCTGTGGCGCAGACGCGACATTACTCTCGCCCTGAAGGGCAGAGTTTACAACGCAGCCGTCCGTTCAACTCTCCTATATGGTTGTGAAACCTGACACATCAGGTCGACAGACATAAAGAGGCTCGTCATATTCGATCATCGCTGCCTTCGCAGCTTAGCTCATGTCTGGTGGGAGCACCGCGTGAGCAATGAGCGTGTTCAAAGTCGCGTATTTGGTGCAGGAAGAGCGAGTGAACCGCTCAGCACCATTATATCACACACTAGGCTCCGATGGCTGGGCCACGTGTTGCGCATGCCAGCACACCGACTCCCGCGACGTGCATTGTTTGCGCGTTGTGGGTGCGGTTGGAAGAGGAGGAGGGGAGGCCAAGCGATGACTTGGTCGAGAGAAATGAAAACCCTCACTTCGAAGTTGGTCTCGGTTTGTGCATCCCGACTGCCTGACTGGGGTCCTAAGGACGGTGAGCACGTTTGGTTGGACACACTTGCTGATATGGCTTGGAGCCGGCCCCAATGGCGTTTGTGTCGTGACTTCCTTTGTCCATCCCCGTCCTGTTTAGCATCCCCCTCCAATCACGATCTCACTTGTTAGGTATAATATGACTCTCTTTTACGGCAGCCAGCTGTTAGCTCTCCGGAACGATGTCCATCCGTTATTGGGGACTCAGCGGGCGTGCCACTGTTTGTTTTCCTTTTCTTGTCTTTTGTATTGCGGCACAATAGCTGAGGTGTTTTCCACCTCCAGCTAACGTGTAAGGATGATGATGATGATGATGACTCGGTCGTTTCACAAACGGAGCATTTTTAACCCTTCTCTCTGCTGCGCCCATCGGTTGGCATTTGGCCGCATTGTGGTGAGTTTCCCTTGTTTGTTTGACTACGTGAAGCGAATTCTAACGACGCTGAAACGTTGTTAATGAAGGCTGACTTTCGGTATACTTCAGCGCCTTGCGGACCAGAGGCTATCAATTTCGCCCCCTTACCTTGACCGAATAAACCGCGTTTTTCGAAGGGAGCCTCTTTACGCAACTGAGTCAGTCTGACCGGCGCAAACAAATCCAACACCTCCATTCGCACTTACTGCTATGTTTTCGCTACACGAAGTGCATGCATCATAAGTTCGAGCAACCTGGAGCATCCAATGTCTGTGTGGGAAAATAGGGGAAATAGCAGACTGATGATAAATGTACAACGGTGTTACGGTCGAAGCGTCTATCACGTCGTCCACCTCACTGACTAAATGCTTAAACTTTAACTGTTTCCCGCTGACACCTTTGACTAGTAGTCATGAGATGCGGTACGGTGGAGTTAATACTAGCGCCGACTGAGGTGCAGCACTTTAAGCGAACCCCCTTGTGTTCCACTATATCAACACCGGTGAAACGTCTCTGCCACATTTTAACTCTATGTCCCTAGAGTAGACATACAAAAACCAACGCATGATACACAGTGGACCTCTTCGTGATTAGCAATTTTCAGTATAATGTATACGCTCAAGCACGCATGTGTTACCTTTCAATTCCATTTGCTCATTTAGCACCTTTTTCGTTTCCATGGCAAGCGCTTTTCGTGCCGCCTGCTCCCGACGCATGCGCTCCGTCTCACGATGATATTCTTTTTTGATAATTTCGTCGGTGGCCTTCTCCAAGTCACGCTGGTACATATTTTCCGCAGTTTTAAACTGTCGGACGAAGTTTTGGTACTGCTTGGTTTCTTTACTGACACGTCGCTGTGAGGTGAACGGAAATGTTTGGAAACACCCGGTTTACACTGAACTAAATTCACTGATAATATGACCAATCGAGTACTTCATTATAAACTCAAGTGTACATTTTAGCTTAGTTATACCAATGATTCTGTCATTTTTTTGGTGCATACAAATACTTTCGGTGAGGATACATGGCAGGCTAAGCACGCGAAACCGATCCGCGGCCAGTAGACTGAAAGTCCAGTCAGTCCCAATAGAACCAACTAACCACGATTACACAGGTCGGATGAACTTTGAAAAATTCCTTCACTACGTTGTGAATTAAGAAATGGTTTGGTATTGGACAAACGCAAGCGAAATACTCGCGCGAAACAATGATTCTGAGTGGATGGCTTACGTGGAGCACCCTCGCATATATTGGTGGTCTACCATTGTCTCGTTCCTCAACATCAAAGGTGCCTTCAATTCGGTTGACCGATCTGCCCTTTGGGACTACCTACTTAAGATGCACGTGCTCAACCAATATGTGAATCCTATCCCATCACTTTATACGCGTAACTCGGGTAGAGTGAAGGCTTAAGGCTAGCTGTAGCCGCCCTACAATATCTCCAGCGGTGTAAGAAAATCCCCGCCGTCACCTTTCCTCTTTGTTGCATCCCGAAAAAGCAGCAGGCCAGAGCAACACCGGAACGTATGTATGGAGGAAACTGTCCGTACACACGCGCAGTACAATTAAATCGATAGAGGTTCGCACTGCAACCAATCAAATGCAAGTTCACATGATGGGCCAGCGAGTGCTAAAAAGACGTGTGAGTGGGATAAGCAAATGGAGGGCAAAAGCAAGGCAAAGTATTTGAACACGACATTGTCCCCTCCTCTGTTCGTAAAAATATTGGCACTAGATGTTCATGAACGATCTAATTTAATGTCAGCACCCCGAAGAATTGTCATGTGGTGATATCTGTTAAAGCGTATCGGTAGACATGGCGGCGTATCCGACCGGAACGTCGTAAGTTTGTATTATCTTGTACCGAGCGCTGTGTTGTAAGTGTGTTCGTCTGTTCAATAGCAGGTTGGGAAAGCGCTGTTTGCAGCCATCTTGCATTCACCTTTGTCCCATCAACCAACGTGTATGTCCCTGGTGTGCACATAGATTCTACACAGGTCCGCTGTCCGAGCACATTGCCTCCTTTCCGTGAATTGGGTATTCTCACACGAACAAATATCCCTGGAGGATACTTTCACCCAACAAGTCTATATTTAGCCCGGTAAACAGCCCGCCTTTCGTATTCACTGTGATCGGCGATTTCTTCGGTTGTAAAGGCTGCATTTAATCCAGTTCGAATTGTTCGCCCTAGCGTTAGCTCCGAGGGGTCCTTGTTGTTGCAGTATGTGAAGTGGTTTTGTATACCTCCAATGCAGATACCAACGCATCATCCTAGGCTTCTCCTGAAAGTCGAAGGACTTGTAGAGATGCTTTCATAGTACGATTAAGTCGTTCGACGAGTACATTCGCTGCAGGATTGTAAGGTACAGTCCTCGTATGGTTGATATCATTGGGCCTTAGCAATTCAGCATACTCGTAACTTCAAAATTGTGGGCCATTATCAGTAACTGTTTATTCTGGCAGACCGTACCTTGCAAACAAACAACGGAGCCACTTTATGATGACGGCTGTAGTTACGTCTCCGCATGGAATGGCCTCTGCCCATTTGCTGTAGAAACATGTAGCCACTACCACGTTTCGCTTCTGCGGGGGTGCATTGGCAAACGGGCACATAATATCGATGGCAATTTTTGCCCATGGCTTCATTGGGTACACGATAGGTTGGACTGGAGCATTCAGGGGCCTCGCACTCTTATCGGATTGTTGGCAGGCGTAGCATTCCCGTATAACCGCCTCGATGCTGGAATTCAACTTCGGCCACCAATAGTATTGTCGTGTCTAAGCTTTTGTTCGCACAATCCCTGGATGACCTTCATGTGCACATGCAACCACCAGAGGAATAAGGGTTGCAGGGACCGCAAACTGCTTGCCGCTAATAACGCAGTTGCCCACAGTAGAAAGCTCGTGCCATAAGATATAGTATGGAAGTAACTCAGGTTTTATCTTGGTGCGACTGGGCCATGAAGTGGATATGTACTCCCGAAGCTTCGCTTCGACAGGGTCTTTGTCAGTGTGCTCTCGTATCAGATCAAGTGTTATTTTAGGTATTCCGTCTGAGAACTGTAATATTATTTTTACCTCCTCTAAATCCTGCTTTTCCCCTTCCTTGAACAGTGGGAGACTCGACAAGGCATCTACAAGTTGGTTAAAGCACCCTGGCACATATTTTATTTCATAATCATAATTCAATAAACGTGAGTATCAGCGATTCAAGCGTACCGGCATTTGGCCTTTGTTACCGCGACTTAGTGACGTTGTAAGAGCATAATGATCGGTGCGCAAAGTGTATCGACGTCCGAATAGGTAAAAATGCCATTTCTCACATGCCCAGACGCATGCGAGGGCCTCCTTCTCGCCAGTAGAATAATTTCTTGCAGCATCAGACAAGGTACGCGATGCGTACACAGTCACTTTCTCCTCGCCATTGCGCAACTGGAACAGAACTGCACCCAAGCCAACAACTGAAGCATCCGTTGAAACCAATGAAGATCGCTACCATGGGAGTGGATTCAATCATCGCTCGTATGGTCAAGTAAGCATTGTCTTGTTCAGTGGCCCAACGAAATTCCTGGTTTTCGGGCGTCAACATCCGTAAAAGCTCGGCGATAGTCGCAAAATTCGGTAAATGTCGAAGGTAATAAGAATACAAACCCAAGAAGTGTTTCATCTGTGTAACGTTGCTTAGTTTTGTACAATCGAGAATGGCTCTGGTGTTCTGCACATTAGGCTTAATACTCGAGGTAGAAATAACATGTTCAATAAACTCGATCTCCGTTACAGCGCAATGGTATTTGTTGGTATTCAGGCGGAGATTTAGTTCATCCTGTCTATGCAACATATTATGAAAGTTTTACTGATGTTCGCTGGAGTTACTACCAAAGACACAAATATCATCCATATACACAACACATCTTTTGAGATCTGATAACGATAGAGTAATAAATTTCTGCCAAGCTGCTGGGACACTACTAAGGCTCACTGGTAGCACTTTATATTGATACAAACCGTTTTACGTGAGGAAAGCAGTCAAATCTCGGCAATCTGGAGTCAGTGGCTTGTGATAGTATGCACAGCGAATATCCAGCTTTGAGAAAAGTTTGACGTTTGGCGTTTGTCGATAGAAGGCAGAGGGAAACTGTCCACAAGTACGTCGATTAAGCGCTTGAAGGTCGGTGCATACACTAATAGAGACATCTTTCTTTTAAACGGCAACTAGTAGATGAACCCATTCAGAACACCGTATCGGTTCTATCAAGTCTTCCGTGATCATCTTTTTCAAGGCTTACGACAGCGCTTCTCACTTGACCAGAGGTACAGGCCCAGGTTGAGAAATGCTAAACGATTTATAATCCGCGCTCAACCGAATGCGGTGCACTGCTTTTGAGACTACTAATATCCGGAAGAAAGCGATTTGGGTAACTGGAACGTAACGATTGAAGGTTGACATTGGCAATGGTCATCCGGCTGATCCATGGTGATATGTTCAATAATCTTACCACGGCATTACGTCCCAACAGAGGCTTACTATCAGTTTTAGAAATGTAAACTTTAACTATACGCTTCCTGCTGTTTATAAGAAACATTGAAACCGTAACAAAACCCAGTATATAGACATCACCATCTGAGTAGCTGCTGAAAGTTTAAGCGGAAGGATGTACAGTTAGCTGACCAAAATGCTGTTTGTAAAAACAATACGACACAACTGTGATTTGTGACGCGGAATTTAGTTCCATGTCTAGACACATGGTTTTGCTTCTACAAAAACACATAATGAGTATCTGGCGAAGGCGGTTTGGATTCTTGCGTTGGAGACGAAAGTGGATGTTCGCATTTATTAACAACATATAGATTGTTCAGTGGTGACCGGAGAAGCTCTAGAGTCGTTTGCAGAATCAATTAAAGAAATGGCGCGCGAACGACAAACCCGAGCAAAATGACCGGTCTTACCGCAATTTCGGCAGATTTCACTCTTTGCAGGACATGACTTATCATTTGCAAGATGTTCAGCATTTTCACAACGGTAACACTTATTTCGAACGGAGGATCGCCTCAGCGAGCGTGTAGCATCCAAACGGCCAATTTCAGCAGCTCCTGTGTTAGAGAGGAAAAGTTTGTTTTGTTCCGTGACTGCGACCGCGCGAGTCACATCACAGGCCCTGTCCCATGTGAGCTTTTCTGCGTTCTCCATTAAGAGACTCTCTCTGATCCGAGAATCCATGAGGCCAGAAACCAATTGTTGTATCAGCGTAGTTTCTTCCACTTTTTTCTTGGTAATACTATTGTTGTCACACGTACGAACAGAACAAACAAGACTTGAAATGGATGCATCCACTGATTCACCAGTTGCTTGTTTTAACTGCGAAAAATTGTACCGAGAAGTATAGGTGTTCACTGGGACACCCCAAGGTTTATCGAGGGCCGATAAGGCCTCTCTCAAGGTGGGTTTCTCCCGCAGGTTTAGAGCACCAAATATACAGCGACCCTCTGAGCCGAGGTGCAAGCGCAAAAGCTTTAAAGTATCCTCCGTTTTTCAGCTTAACGGATGGATTGAGAACTGGCAACACAGAAATATATTCTGAAGAACTCAATTTCCAGTCTTCCCAGCATTCTGCATCTGAGGTAACCATGGAGTCAGTTCAAAACGATGAACGGGCAGTAGCATGCAAATACATCGGTAACACGCGACACCAATTTGTTATATTCCGAAAAAGCATCAGACCAGAGCAGCACCGGAACCCATGTATGGAGGAAACTGTCCGTACACACGCGCAGTACAATTAAATCGATAGAGATTCGCATTGCAACCAATCCAATGCAAGTTCACATGATAGGCCAACGAGTGCTTAAAATAATT